TATTACACTGATTTATTTTTTTTTTAACACAAGCTAAACTATGCACCACTTCAGTGTTTGAGGTTTCCCATTACATTTGGCTCCAGTATCATCCACCCACCTTCTCTGAACTCGACTTCCCCCGGTACTTCCACCTGTGACTTAATCATGTCAACGATACCTGCAGGACATTTAGCCCTCTGACCGTGTTTATCTTGGAAGCTAGTAATTTAACACAAAAACACATACCAGTTTCTGTGGACGTTAGGTTCCTTGCTAAGTATCTGTCAACAGCCATGACAAAGTTGTTAAAGGAGTAAACTTTGATGCTATTTTGTTTATTGAGTGATATGATGCTATTTTGCTTTATGCTTTTAAAAAAAGTCTGTCTGAAACAATCTAATTACAAAAACATTACAAAGCATCAAATGGCCTTTTTAATCTCATGACATTGACCTGTGGTGCTGTGTTGTAAAGGACTGGTGACACATTAAGCTCAAATTGGTATTGGATAGTCCTCCTGGCTGTCACTGAGAACTGGTGACTAATGGCACAAGAACGGGTATCAGACTAATATCATCCTGTTAATAATATCCTGACAACCTCAAGGCCTGCGGAGTGTATCAATCCACAACTGTCCATGATTTTTAGCCAACAGGTTTCCTTTTTCAAATGATCATTTATGAACATTTCCTTTGGACTGAATTGCCAGGAACCAACATGAGTTTCAGTAGCATAAAAGCAGGCTGATGTCAGGACTGATGCTGAGGCCATGACTGTTACAACCAATTTTTAAAATGTCTTCATAGGCTTTAATAGTTAATAATCAGATGCTTTTAAATGAAATTCTATGGGCGTTTAATACACACAGTAAAACATCTGACTGTGAATGTGACCGCATATTACTGGCTTCTACTTATCATGCTTGTATATACTGCAAAATGATAGTACCTCATTGAATTGGAATAACTCCAGAGCTATTATGGTAAATTAGTATTGAACTCTCATGACAGTCAGCAAATCTTTCATCACTTTTTCATCACAGCAAATTTTTTCATCACACAAACAATGTGGGAACCCAGCATACATGCAATGCAATCCTGTTTTTTATGTTGTGTTATGAGTGAAAATGACCTACCATGTATTGATTTTGCTGTAAATATCACTTGTAGATTATTTTTTCATTATTTTACATGAATGATTTTCAAAATGATGCATAATGAATGATATTGAATTAATAATGTAGAATTAAGCATGCTAAAACAATACAACAAATACAGAAATGCATAGTGAAATCAATGCATAATAGCTTGTCCCCTCCACAACCCCCCCCCCAATGACATTATGGTTAAAAAAATACTGTAAAATAACCAGACCGTGTTACATGGTGAAATTCCATATATAGGGTTAATACCCATACGCCCTTGCACTTGATTATTTCAATTTCAAAAAATAATGTACATTATAAAGTGTTTCACAGTAAGTTTCAGAATATTTTATTAAAAATATATGTTTACCCATCATTATATATTAATTGCAAATCATATTTTTACATTATACATACTTTCCAGGCTTATCTGGGTATCACCCAATTGTAATGTTAAAGCTACACTGTGCAACTATTTTAGTTTATTCTTAGCTAAAAACACTTAGTTCTTTCAAAAATATATGTGCTCATTAATGTATATTTACTTTGTTCGAGTGTATAATATGCCATTGAAAATACATACGGGTAAGGGGTTCTAATGTCGGTCGCCATGTTGCCCCTCCATCTTGAAAGTACATTAGCCAAAGAGGGACATACCCGTTAATTCAAGCTTCGCCTTTCGCGTTTATGTTTGAGTTAACACTCATAGACGAGTTCGAACTGGAAGCCAAGTTAATCTTGGACTACATTGGCCACCGTAGGATTTAATAGTCCCTCCAGAAAAACGCGATTATGCGATCGCTGAATTCAATGCAAAATCAGCCAAAGTCCGCATATTTATGCGGGGGGCCGCATTTTTTCGAATACCCCGCACTTTCGCCGCATAAATTGCGATTTCCGTGCAAAATATGCGGGGTTTGCATGATTTCATAATCCTCGCATTTTCGTTGCAAAAAAGTCACATGTATCTTAGCAGAAAGTTGAAAAATGTTGTGTTTGAGCAGCCATTTCCCCCTGTTTCAATGGGAACGTTATGAAGTGACGCAATTACGCGACGGGATATCACACAGCTGAAGTTATTGCAGAGGCCATACAGACTCACAGAGGCGATTGACATCTCACAAATCGACTCGTACAACTGTCTGTCGCACGTTCTACCGTCACATCGTTACTTAATAAACAACATAAGATAAAAGAATTAGCATCAAACAGAAATTACCCACACACATGGGGTGTTTGAGGCGCACATATAACACTGCAGACAATTCAACAGAGAGCGCGCAGCTCTTAAAGGGGCCACACCTTATTTACACTCGTTATAGTCTGAAATAAAACAAGAAGAGAAATTAAATATTCCCAGCACTTTCTATGATGTAGTATGCTTTCTTATCAAAGGAAGTAATAAGAAATTACTCTTTACATTAAGGTAGTAGCCTAGTGAGAACAGGGTGTTGGGGGAATCACTTTTTTTCTCTTTTTCATCAAACTGCAGTTTTTGCAAGTTCCCGCAATTTTTGCAAATTCCCGCAATTTTTGCAAGTTCCCGCAATTTCATCGCATAAAAGAAAACGGGCGTCGTAATCAAGGATTTTTGCCCGCAAAAATCACAAAAAAACTTCGCGTTTTTCTGGAAGGACTGATTTAAAACGAAATCGGAATTGAGAGGAACGGAAACTAATATTCATTGGATGGTCATACCTTTTCACCGCTAGATGGGGATAAAAATCACACAGTGTAGCTTTAATAGATACTCAAATTTTTTACACATTGCACCTTTAATGCTTTTTGGGGGCCTGTGTAATTTACTGTAAAACAGTATTTGAAGCATATATATAATGCTTGCAGTGTTTTACAGAGCAAGTGAAAATGAGATATGCTAGATTCACACTTCTGTCATCTACTGCCGCTATGCAGCTATCCCACACAAACTGTGAGTTCGCTCTGGATATAGTTACATCTCCCACACAGAGCCTCACGCTCCAGTGCATCAGATGACCTGGCAGTTAAAAGCAATGGGAGCGAACATGTCATCACTCCCATTCTTCAGTGAGACTGCACATTCTAACTGCGAGAGGGAGAGAAACGAGTGAAAAAGCCCAATACTTGTTTTATCATCTTTGGATCTCATGACATGCTCCTGCTGTTTTATTTCTTGCCTTTAAGCATTCAGCCATAGAAGAAAACAAGCCAGCCTTGATATAATGTACTTTTCTTTCTTATTTCCTTTTTATTTTCTGCTTTTATTTTATTTTTTGGATTCATCTTGGTAAACTCGAATCACTCTCTTATTAACATCTACTCGCATCTACACAAATATATAATTCACATTTATATAATGTGAGTTGATTATATTTCTCTGCACATCTGAAAGCTGTTGTTGGATTTTCCTCTCTGTGGATTTCATGATTATGTGTAGACGTGCCCTCATATGCCCTTGATTCAGTCTCATTAACACACAGCAGTGAATCAACAGGGTCACACTGAGAGTGTGTGCATGTGCGTGTGTCTTTTACTTCTGTTTTAAATGAGTGAGGGCTGACAGTCTGACTTTTGTCCTGGTCTATTTTAGGCATTGTCATAAGCCCCCTGCCATTTCATTTCCATCTGAAAAAATTCAATAAGTTCTTGAAACGAGTCCACAAATTCCATTTGAATCTGATCTGAATGTCCATACAATGCAATTGTGCAGTCCTTGTATGTAAACTTAAAAATCAATTATAATACCATAATTCAAAAGTTTTGTCTTTGAATTAAGTCTCTTATTCTCACCAAGACTGCATTTATTTGAGCAAAAATAAACCGTAAAGCTGTGAAATTTTATTACATTTTAAAATAACTCTTTTCTGTTTGAATATATTTTAAATTGTCAACTTGGCAAAGCTGAATCCACTGTCACATGATCCTTCAGAAATAATGTGCTGATCTACTGCTCAAGAAACATATATATATATATATATTATCCTTCAAAATAGGCCGCTAAGCCACATTCAAACTTTGTCCTGCTTTTATTAGCTAAAATTTGAGTCAAATGAATGAGAAATTATTTAATTTAATTTAACTTCCTTACATTGAAATTTGATTTGCAAATTTACATTAGTTCACCCAAAAATCATTTACTGACCCTCAAGTTGATCCAACCTTGTATGAGTTTCTTTCTTCCGTTGAACAAAAAAGAAGATATTTTGAAGAATATGGGTAACCATTAACAGTTGATGGATCCCATTGACTTCCATAATGTGTGTGTGTGTGTCTATATATATAATTTGGGTGAACTAAGCCTTTAAATAGAAATTTAAAAGGCATTCAAAACACAACCCTGCAGACCAAAGGGTGTTCGTTTTTTTTTTGTTTTTTTTTTTTAATCATTTTATGATTCGTAATGATACTCACTAGCACCCATTTTGAGGCCCAGTGTGCTCTTTTACCAATCTTACACTCCACTGTAGACTATTACCCAACAGCCCATGCAGGAAAGTGTGTACACTCGAAAAAATGCTGGGTTGTTTCAACCCAAATTTAGGTCATATATGGACAAACCCAAATGTTGGGTTAAAAAAGCAATTAAAACATTTACAGTTGAGAGTGAAAGTTGAAGTTGGGTTAAAATTTGAAATTACATTTTTAACCCAACATTTGGGTTTGTCCATATTTGACCAAAATTTGGTATAAAACAACCCAGCATTGTTATACAGGACCATATGGGCTTTTAGGCCTAAATCTATATTAAGCAGTTTTTCATTAAAAAAAAAAACAAAACAAAAAAAAAAACACCAGTTTGTTTCATGGAAACCATGTTGATCTAACCATTGTAATGTGAAGCCTATACAATAATAACTAAAACCCCCTGTATTATGTTTTTGTGCTGCTTATACAGGTATAGAGGGAATGGAGTGCTCTTTACCCACTGATGGACGCCGTGTGCCTCTCAGCCAGCTCTCCCAGGACAGTTTTCGGGAGTGCCAGATCACCCTCACCCTCACCGATTTCTTCATCATCATCTTCTCGGGCATCTCCGTCTCGGTGGCTGCCATCATGGCCAGCTTCTTCCTGGCATCCACCGTCCACTGTTTTCAGCGCTGGAGCAAGGGCACTAAAGGGGACGAGGAGGAGAGTGAAGAATGAAGAGGGAGCCGAACGACCTTCGATATGATTCAGAGCTGCATGTTCTTGACAGAGTCCCAAGCAAACAGCGTGACTGAACAGACACCAGGTAGAACTTGAGCAGAGATAGCCTGATTGATAGTGGCTAGTACGGATGCAGTACCCTCAGAATCAAAGGATTTTTGGTATGAAAGTAAGCCTTAGTATGCAAACTTCCAGGGATTTACGTGTTGAAGGAAATTCTTTGAGATCCTGTCCCGCAATAGAATTCTCAGTGTTATTGTCCGTAGACTTTCCCTCATGTGGTCAATATAAAGTTAACAAATTTCAGCTGTGATAATTGTTGATTGTGCCAAATTAGCACAACGGTTCAGACGAGCACTGATGAAACGGCTAGACGAAGTCATGCAATGGGAGTCAGAAGTCAAACGATCCAGCTTTATACAGCCAAGTATGTGTGATGGAAGCCATTTTCTTTCCATTTTGAAAGGATGGGGGGAAATAACATGAGCTTAGAGAGATTTTAGAAAGCATTACCTGAAATGGAATAGAGCTTAATGTGAATAGCCGTGTCAAATGCCGCACTTTAAAATGGTTCTAGCTAACTAACTCCTGCCCTCAAAGCACCGGGTATTCTGGTTCAGCCCAGATCTGCCAAAGAACGCTTTCGACTGAGGGACTGAGGTTAATGTGTTTTGAAATATAGATTTATTTTTCTTTAAAGAGAATCTGTAATCTTAGCAAGATTACATTTATTTAGCCTAATTATGGTACTACTCACATATTTACCCTTAATGTGACTAAAGACAATATTTATGGGATAAAAATAACTGCATACTACAAATGTCATTGTATTATTCATGTCTTAAAGGTATATTTGAAAAAGGCATACAGTGGGCCTAAACAGTATTTGGATATTTAAGTCAAACTTCTATATTGCAATTGCAAGATTAAACCAAGCAAAGCACGCACAAAAACAACAAACAAAAGATTTGTGATTGGTTTACATAAAAATGAATGAATAATTAAAAATGCCTTATATTATGTATTTGTATGTTAATGAATAATTCAATTTTAATGTATATTGAAGAAAAAAATGCTTTGAGACTGTTTTGTGAAAAAAAGCAATTGCAGAAAAGGGAAGTATGTTTAAGTAGCTACAGCATCCTTTCCTTTCAGAATTCGTAAGTGTGACTTAAGTGTCCAAATATGTTTTGAGGCCATTCATGTGTCTTCAGATTGCTGTCTAGTGTCTGTCAACTAATAATATTAATAATACATATTAATAATATAATACATTTGTTAATGATGTCAATTCCATCAATACCATCTATTTCAAGAAAATGATTTTGTCAATAGACCGTGTGGGGCAAATGATTTTCGAATGTCAGGAAAAGACATTTGATTGTTTTTGTTTTCTTTTATTATTACTTCAACATCTTGCTTCTTTCATATCCTTATTTGAAAGGGCTTCATGTGTCTTAAGAATTAGTTTATTTGTGTCTTTTGCACAATTAATCACTTTTATTAATATCCCAATGTCTTTCACCATCCTCTGTTCCACTTTTGCTGCCCATTAGCAGATGCTATGGATGTGCTATTTTGAGAATATATATAGCTTTTTTTTCCCAGACAGGTATCACAACTTCATTTTTTTGCAGTGCATGAATAAGTAATTGGATCTGTGAAATGAGGCAGACAATGTGCTAGTCTTCAGAAATGTTGGGGATGGAAAAATATATAATTGTGATTCATTAGCCGTCTTATTTCAAACGAATTTTATTCCAGTCACACAACCTTAGCCATCATATTGTGTTGGATGTAAGAGAGCACGGATGCATAATAATGTAGTGTAAATGTTCCAGTGTCAGGACACGGTTGACCATATGCACAATCTTTCAAAGCTCGACTGTAGCATGGTATCATCAGCATAAATCAAACCTGCAGCTATAATATTTGTCATATTGAAAGATTTCCCCCCACATATTTACCCAAATATTTATAGCTAGCTGTATGTATTTGCAAGTAAAATGAGATATTGTCTTTTGAAAATTCAGAATGTTATAGACACTTCATATGCCATGACAATGGAACTGTTTAGTCATGACGTCAGTTTGTAGGCCGACCTCGGCATGGTTTCCCTTTGGAATTTCAAAGTTTTTAATAGCAGGTTCTGTTTTATGGATAAAAAACAAAAACAAAATAATAGTAAAAAAAATATGAATGCACATTAATGTTCTGTTCTGCAACATACGTCATACATAGTCAAACCTGAAATGTGAAAATTGAAAAAGAAAATGTTTTAAAAATTAGCTATATAAAGACAATGAATCAGTTAATTAATCATATTATTTTTAATATCTACAGAGGCCATATTATGCCTTTTAACAAAGTCTTGAATATTTCTAGAATAGGTCATATTCATGCTTGAATGTAATATATATATATATATATATATATATATATATATATATATATATATATATTTTACATTTTTAAGCACCTCTCTTCCCAGTCAGTAATGCTCCGGGCTGCGTTTCCCAAAAGCATCAGCTGATCTTAGAACAATTTCCCCAAATTTTCTCTAAAATCAACTTAGGCTTACAAAGCTTTTGGGAAATGCAGCCCTGTTTAGTTCCGGTCTCTGTCTGAAAAGCACAATGTGCTTTATTGGTTGGTTGGACCAGTGTGTTGTGATTGGTCAACAACTTTGAGTGTGTTTTGGAAATGTCATCCTGACCATCCTGAGTTTCAACACAGTGCTAGCGCTAACTAACAACTCAACCAGGCCTCCCCCACCCCACCTTTCTTGCGTATACCCAGGGTGGAAATTACCTACATGAATATTATGACGTGTACATTCTCGGAAGAAAACTCAAGACTACAAATGAGGCGTTTCAGGGAGTTCAGAAACAGTGCTTGCTGATATAGAGAGTCGCTTTTTTGGACTGGACTTTGTGCACACTGGACCTTTGTCATGTGCACTAAAGAAAGTTGAAAACGTAAAAGCATAATAGGTCCTCTTTAAAATCATAAATTGAAATTTTGAAATTCCTGAGGGAACCCATGACTTTGAAGTTTTTAATACTACAAACAGAACAGCCACTGATCTTACATGGATCATTTTATTTGTGCAGTGACAGAATGCATCAAGTTAATACTTTTGCTTCATTGTCTACAATAGCAAGTAAAATATAGCGTGTTCATTGCTGTACCATCTGTCAATAATTCAGTATGTGTCATTTGAAAAGAGCCCAGAGCTCCCATTGTAATCCTTTGTCACAACTGTCACACTGAGCTATGTAGTAAAGATGTGTGTTGCATTATAACATGGAGTATATTTGTTCTCAGTCTTAACTGAACATATATACCTAGAAAACCAACTACTATGTAGTTACAGTAGAAAGAAAGAGGTTTTTTTCCTGCATGACCAAATGGTTACATCATTCAGTACTTTTTTTTTTTTTTTTTTTTACTTCATATGGCAGTGCACTGTTGATGAAATACATTATATTAAACAGTAAACTATTTTTGACGGATCTTCTTTTCTTTACATTGATTTTCTTGTGACATATTTAGTCAGTCTAGCAGTTCAGACCCACTTTTCCATGCACAAATGTATTAACATCATTTCCAAGTTGTTGTTTGCATTTACAAGTTATGCTTTTTGATAGATTACAGCTGTGGAGAGAAGTGGTGTCTAGTTGGGTCATGTGACAGGTGTTTGCCCACATTGCTGTTTTATAATAGAGCAGATGGCCAGCCCCTGATTTTGTCCACATGATTCTTTAATGACTCCAAAAAGCAAAATAAAGTAATAGGTCGGTGCAGTGACGCAAGTGTCCAAGAGAAACGGTAATGCCGTTCTCCATAAACTTGGTGTTGGAAAATCTATGGTGAGAACACTCAGGCAATGAAGGGTGGAAATAGAGAGCCCTCCTGCAAGCATTTACTTCATTTGGTAACCATGGCTACAGGGCCTGAGGCTTGCACGGTGGGATGTCGAAGCGTGAGCTAGGAGGGAGAGGCGGGAACACTTGTCTGTCCTGCTCACACTAAGAGGAAGTGCCATTTTTGGGAAATCCATGTCTGACTATGTTTCCAGGTCCCAACCTCTGATTCTATAAGAGCAGGTCTCCTCACAGGGGCACTTTAAAGGCACTATGCATCTTTGAATCTATCTTTGAAACACTATGCAGGAATTATGTTTTTCTCAAACAGCGACCCGTAGAGTACTTGTATTTAACGTTACCGTCGTAAATACAACTGCACTCATGCCTTGATACTCCTCTGAAGCTGTTATTTTAAGGTACAAATCTTGCATAGTGTGCCTTTAAATAAGAGATCTAGGGGGTGTTTATGGGTAGGCCTACTTTGATATTAGACTGGTCAACGAAATGAATGAAAATTTGCTCATCAATATCTAAATTCACACCTATATCTTTGTAGAACTTCAAGAAACTGAAAAGATGCTGCAGCCAAACTTAGAAATATTTACTTACTAGTCCATCAACAAGATCGCCAGGTCAGCATCACTGCTGCATCCAGTGCTGCTTTATAGCTCGTACCCGATTGAAAAGCCCCATCTCTGGAAAAGCCTGACCGAGTGGGACTCTTCCTCATGTGGTCAGATTATCTTTTCCTTTTCCTAGTCTATTCCGACCGCGTTTTCTTTGCTTTTTCCATCGTCGAAGTGTCTTAATGCTTCATATGTTGTTGTTGATGTGTGTGATGTCACTGCCGTACAGCATAATGTCGTGATTCTCAAAATTGCATTGAGCGGCATCCCCCCGGATGATTCGCCCTACTATGAGTTTGTTTACCACCGAATTGACTTTGAAGCTGTTATATTAAGGTACAATTCTTGCATAGTGTGCCTTTAAGCTTAGCTCAGTCTCTTTTCATTAGTTGTGGTTCACATAACACACTACAGTCTATTCTTTTTAAGATGGCATGACCTCTATCTTTCACAAACACACTCACACTCAAACTCTCTTAGAACGTGGGTCTAATACTCCCAGGATTTTATGTGCAAGAGTATCCAGAGACATGAGATGAAACCCTATCCTCTCTGTACAGTGGCACAGCGAGCCTTTTCTTATAACAATAAGTACACTAAGCCTTTTGGAGGGTTAAACATTTTACTGTCTGTTTACAATAATGTTACTACTTTTGCCAGAACAACAACCGTAGTTGAGCAATAATATTGACTATTAGTTACAGTATTCAGTGTAGCACATTTCTAAACCATGGCAATATAGACAGAAAACTTAGCAAAGCATAAGATCTTTGAGCAAAGCAGAAATAATGTAAAATACAAAAATAAATAAATAAATAAAATAATATAGTTTAACCTGTATATTATTCATTTATATTATAAAATATTTTAAACACTATATGATATGTGTATATAGACATGTTTCCCCCCAGCAAAACATGTGAAGTGAATTAGAAGTAAGATGACCTAGAAACCTGAGAGAGAAACAGAATGCTGAAGAAAGAAGCGGACACCTCTAGAGAGATTTTTTTGTTCGAAAGCTACTGGTCTGAGCTCAAACTTGAGGTAAAGTAGGTTTCGCAAGTTCGCAAGTTACTGTACTGCAGCCTCTGGGGACTAAACTTTTTTTTTTTTTACTAACATGACAATTGCTTAAAAAAATAAGGGTTAATTTACAGAACAGAATGCTTGAAAATAGCAAGATTTTTGTTTTATATAACAATTGTCATATTTATTTACCGTTACAAAGTTTGGGGTCAGAAAGTTTTTTTTTTTAAAGAAAATACTACTTTTATTCTGCAAGAATGCATTAAATTAATACAAAAAAAAGTGGCATTAAAGCATTTATAATGTTACAAAGTATGCGTCTTATATAAATGATGTTTTTTTTTTTACTTTCTATTCATAAAATAATCCGGGGAAAAAAACGTGTGATACTGAAGTCTGGAATAATGATGCTGCAAATTCAGCTTTGCCATCATAAATATATAAATTACATGTTAAGATGTAACAACAGAAAAAAGGCATTTTTAATTTAGTTATAATTTTCAGTATTACTATTGTAATTATATTTTTGAATGATACACAAGCAAGTGGATCAATGGGTCTGCTACAGTAGTTCAAGTGCTGCGTTAGTGTGTGTGTGTGCATGTGTGTGTGCGTGCATGTATGCGTCTAAAGCTACAGACCACTACAGATGCACAAGTGAGTAAAAGGACAAC